AGGCACATGTCTGCAGTGATGGTGTGAGTTCGCAAAATTGAGAATAGAATAGAAAAGGATAGAATGAGCACCAAACCTTAGCTTAGGTATTAGTGTGGGAAAGGGACTGGGTCTAAGTGTCATTTTAACACTGCAATTAGTGCTTTCTGTTAAATTAAGTGATCAGTAAGACTATTGACTGTCATGGCAAAGGTGACTGCTCAGTTATTGTGTTTGCATACTTACTATGACCCATGGACACAGGAGAGAAGATGAAACGCTGATTGGTTACAAACACCCTTTATTTCCCCCACATTTGTTTACATCTTTTTTTAAGCAATTACCCATAAAAGCTATAGTTTTTTTTGTCTGTTAGCTAAGCAAGCATTTCTCAGTATTAGAACAGGTGCAGTGTGATTGACCGACTTTAAAGATTTTAGTCCAACCATGTCAAGTAGTAGTGACATGGCTTAAAACTTAGTTAACGTTAAATGCTATGGAAAAACGGTTTCACATTACTTACCAGAAGCTGCTCAGACTGTCTTCCAGCCTGCGCTGTACACATATAAGCAAGTCTTGCCCCTTACCCAAGACCCCGCCCCCTCCAAAATCAGTGAAACATTAATGGTGCCAGATTCCCACCAAAAATTGACCAGTAAAGAAAGCGGTCGCTAGGCAGATTTCACCCAGTCTTCTGCAGCGCCTCGCCCATGGCTCATTCAAGGTCTAAAAGCTGTGATGACTAGAAATCCAGGAATTAAAAAATATTCTGAAAGCCACAATGTCCAAGTATCCGGACTGAGGTTTGTTTAAAAGCCGTGACATCACCACGTGATGCCATAATATGCTTAATATCTGTAATGTCTAAGTCTGTCATTTGGACACTTTGCAATCAGCACCTTGTGTTTAATGAACCCATCAGTTAAAAAGTATGCCTACCATAAACCCATGCACAGTGACTCGTGGAGGAGATGACAAGGGAAAATTGAGACACTAATTAAACAAAGGCCTTTTATTTCTGTGGCACATTTCCTTTATAACTTAAAAGCTTAAGTGCAAAGCGACTTTCATGGCAACACAAATAACACAGCAGCTGTGACATAAAATATAAATAAAGTAAAGTTTTATATTTATATTTTTATATATTAAGATGACGAGGTAAATGCAAAATGGGGAAGAAAAACATAAGATGGCCTTTCAAAAAGACTGATCCTTCCGGCTTATGCAGTGATTGATGATCTAAAATGTAGACAAGCAGAAAACAAGCATATATCAGCAACAGCAACCACAATAGTAAAGAAGTAGTAGTAACAACAGCTACCATGTTAAATGTTCAGTGAAGGTGGCTTACTGTTGCATTTGCTTTAATAAGCCTCGGACGTTGTCAATGTCAGTTGCCTTGGGAACTGTCAGAAAGAGATGTGCTTTCAGTTTCGACATATATATGCATTTCTATTAACACAAATTATAATGCTTCAGATAAAATAATTAACTGGTGAAACTTACTTCAGATTGTTCCTCAGACTACTGCTACTCTGACCACTGCAGCACCAGCTGCTCCAGCTCCTGCTCCTCCTCCCACTGCTCTTTCAGCAGCTGCTGCAGCCCCTCCTCCAGCTCATCTGGCCCCACCTCCTGCTGCAGCCCCTGCTCCTCCCACAGCTGGTCCAGGACCATCCCCTTTTGTGGCTCCAGGTCTCCCTCCGCAGTGCCACCTGTTGGATGGTGGTTTTAGCCTCACCATCGCTGAGCTGAAGTGATTGACTTGTCTTTTACTCCACAGGTCATTTACACCTTCTGTGTCACATGTTATGGGTAGCACCTGCACCCCGCTGGACTCACCATGACCTAGATGTGGCGCCACTGGGGCCTTCCCCCGACAGCTCGATCTCCATTGTTTTATGAACCTCCTCCACCTGCCGTCTGTAAAACGAATGCGGTTTTCAACAAATAAATTTATTTTTCTATAGCACATTATCACAACATCTCAAAGTGCTTTACAGCATCCCCACTTAAAGCCCCCAGTGAGTAAGCCATAGGTGACAGTGGCAAGGAAAAACTACCAAGAAGGAAGAAACCTTGGGATGGACCAGACTCAAAGGGGGAGCCCACCCTCCAGGGGCCGGCAGGGAGAGTCAAATTGGAGAGATGGCTAAGTGCCATGTCATACTGTCCAAACAATAAAATTTGAGACAAAAATGGGGAGCAGGGGGAAGATGACAAGCTGGTGCCAATGCTCCCTCCAATCGCCATGCCATAAGGTTTTCACTAACCTAAACATTCAGGGATCCGGGTCAGCAGCTCAGTCACCGGTTCTGAGAGGTTCTCCCGGGTCGGCATCCTCTGGGACTTCTTCTCCTTGACCTCTTTCCTGTGTCCGACTATCCGCTTAGCTAAGGGTTTGAGCTGTCCCCTCAAATGACTGAAAAGGAAAGCGATTTCCTTTTTGCGTAGTCGGACACAGGCAAGATCTGACTAACAGAAACTGGCAGAATTTTATGACGGCCAAAACAGCTCATGTTAGTCGTGACCATGCATTTTTTGTGTAGGTCAGACAGCCAATCACTAATTCTGCTAGTCTCTGTTAGAAATCGGAGGTGGGCAGGAGCTGGGGCCTCTTTATCGCCCCACATAAAGGGCACAAAACTTTTAATGCACTTTAATTCATGCATTTGATTTTGTCATAGTCCCAGAGGCGCCAACCCGAAAGACGCTCTCCTGAAACCTCGGGAGTCTAAAAGGAAAAAAGAAAAACAGAAAATTCAAGTTAAGCCATGTAATCTCACTGACAACAATTATGTTCACTGACATAAACGACATGACATAAAAAATTTATACAAAACCAAAGACATCCATGTTAAAAGGCCATAATGACTAAAAGTCTAGGAAAAGATGTTTAAGGTCCATAATGTTTAAGTCATAAATTTTATCATGACATTGCAATTGTAATTACCACTGAAGAACTACTTGTGTGACCCGGATCCCGATTGCCGAGGCACAGAGGAACTTCCCCTAAGCTCGGCCACCTCCTGTTCCAACTGTCGGAGCCGCTGCTTTAGCTTCAACATTTCGTCCATTTTTGTGGTCCGAGCACTTTTAAAGTCTTGCAGCGACCGCCGTGCTGCCTGCTTCTTGCCGACTGCGATCTGAGTTTTGGGCAGGAGATAACCATGTAAGACAATGAACTGTTGTGGAAATTTCCTGTACAGATACAATTAAATTGAATGTGATAAAATACTAGCCGCTTCAGTTCGTTGCCATCGAGCGAGTGCCGAAGCCTGAGGTGGCGGTCAATCCTGGTTACATTTTTCGCCGGGCATTGGGCCACGGGGCAATCGATTGGCCCAGCAAATCTGCCCGACGATAAGCAGTTCAGCAGCTTTCTTTCAGTGTTGCTGTCCACCTTGTGGAGATCACAAAGGTGGACAGACACATTCATATATGTCACCTTACACAGGGGACAGGCCTGGGCCTTGCGGGGCATGTTGGAAACTGCTACCTAAAAACAAACAAAAAAAATTTTCTAGAAATAAACACATTTGATTACATATGGGTAAGTTTATTTCATTGCTTTATCCATCGAGTGGCACAGTATTTAACTATTTCATTTAAATTACAGGTTAAATGAGATCGCACACCTATTGTTGGAAAAACTGACGCACCTAGTGGTAATACACGTATGGACAGTGGTTGACGTAACAGTTAGGCAACTACGCATTTCACTTCAAAGTGACACCAGCACGATCAACTGTTTTAATGGTGCAGGTTGTTAATTTAAGTTTTTATAAACATGAAACTGAACAGCGACACATTGAAAAAGCAGCATTTCTTTTCAAACCGTTAGATTAAGTTTGTCTAAACATGAAAACTAAAAAGCGATAAAACATAGTTACTTTGAAACCTTAAATAATGCATTGTTTAAAAACTGTAAAGTACTTAGCAAATGCTGTGGGAAAACTTCGAAATGAAGACGACAATTCGGCCACTATACTCTACTGACCTGACCTTGCACTAATGAGGAATGTTAGCGTGCCGCTCACTGCACCACGCCCTGCAAAATAAAATGCTGGCGCAAATCCATGAAATGCAATTTTTGTTGATTTTACATAGATACCTCAAGAAAAGTCCGAGACCGTTAAATGGCCACGAAGGGGAGAATGTCCACTTTTACATGCATTTCGAATTATCCTTTTATGTTGCTCCTGTGTCGAGTTATACACTAATTGATAGTTGACCGTAATATAAATGTTTAAACTACAGGATGTCTAAGTATCTGGACCAAGGTTTGCTTAAAAGCAGTAATATCACATTATGATGGCTTAATATGCACTCACCTAAAGGATTATTAGGAACACCATACTAATATGGTGTTTGACCCCCTTTCGCCTTCAGAACTGCCTTAATTCTACGTGGCATTGATTCAACAAGGTGCTGAAAGCATTCTTTAGAAATGTTGGCCAATATTGATAGGATAGCATCTTGCAGTTGATGGAGATTTGTGGGATGCACATCCAGGGCACGAAGCTCCCGTTCCACCACATCCCAAAGATGCTCTATTGGGTTGAGATCTGGT